CGCCTCCCGCCCCGGGCCGCCGGCGCTTCCAAGGGCGCCCCGAGGCTCCCGCCCTCCTTGGGAGAAAGGGCTGCTGCCTTAGGGAGGTGGGCAGCGGTGGTGCTTTCTAGCCGGGGAGAGGCAAGCGGGAGCTGCTATCCCCCGGTAGGTCCAGTGCACTGCTCTGGGGTGGGTGCCTGGCTCGCTAGAGCGAAGGGCTGGCTTTCTGAGTGCTGGCTTAGGCTTCAGGATGTTTGCCTGGTGTAAAGGAAGCCCTCAATCTGATGGGGGAGAGGGGTGTCCACTTGCAGTGGGGTAGGAGGCGAAAGCAACTTCCAGTTCTTCTCGTCATCTCCAACTCCTTCCTCTTCCTCCCTTCAAAACAAACAAAAAAGAGCAGCCTGGAAAGATGCTTCCTGTTTCCAAGGGGGTTTTGCCCTGCTTGAGAGGATTGGGTGCTGCTTGTCATTACTGTGGCCTTCTGCTATGCTAATGGCTCTGTTCCTTCAGATCTACCACTGTAACTCTTCCTGTATTCTTGTCCATCCAAACATGTTGGGATAGCATGAGTACCTCTACTTATAGTCTGTCAAATAATCTGAGTGCTTAAAAAAAAATGAGTTAAGTTAGAAACATCCTGCTAACGAGGCAGGTCTGAGGAGGTGGTAGTCACTTGGCCTGTCTTAGGACAACTCACTGCATCGTCAGTACAGGCAGAGTCTGAAATGTTCGTGCCCCAGAACCTCATTTAGGGAAGGTGATGGAACCTTCTGGCTGTCCTGTATGTCACTGCTCTTCACGGCATGCAGATGCAAACACGGGAAGTTAAAAGGTCAGTCGTATATCTTAAACAGTTTCTCTGCACAGCACAGATGGGAGCTGTTTATTAAAATCCTATGCTTGTTACAGTGGAGAGGAGAGACACTTTCTAACCTCTGCTGCCAGTCTAGATATTCGGCTTTGCCTCTTGTTAATACTGTAGTCACTATGTCAATAAAAGCAGAGGAAAACCCTCCCTCATTGCTGTGTATTCACTCCCTGTCTTCAGCTGCACCTTTCTAATGGGAACTTAAAGTGTTGAAGGCCTGAAAAGGAAAATACTAGCAAAAGATTTCCTTGTTTTGTAAGGAGTAGCTGATTATGGGACAGGTGCCCTCAGCATCTCTTCGCCCCAGTATGGATGTATTAAAAGATGCACAAATGATTTATTTCTATCCAGACATGTGGGTTCTTTCCCAGGTGTGGCCATTAATTGCTGTAGAAGATTCTGCTGTCTGAAGCAAATTTTTTATTTGTTCCATTTGTACTACCTGTCCACAGAGTACTTGGTAAAATAACCCCCAGAAGCTTGTACAAGTTATTTATAAATATGTGCATATCTATCTTATAAAATGTTTTTCTCTCAGGTGTAGTGTGGATCGCTGAAGGGTAGTGTAAGGGTGGCCTAATAAACGTAATTGTTTAGTTGTTGGGCATCTAAGGCCTTGTGGTTTTATATTGGATAACCCCAGTGTATTCTATGTGATAGATTTCAAACACCCGCTGTTTGTTGAAGTATTTTTCTTTTTTAAGAAAAATTTTCAAGACATCAGAAGATGATACAGTTTGCATTGATGAGGCTGGAAAGAATAGCTACTAGGAATCTTAAGCACTCATTAGCAGCTGTTTCTTACTCCAAAAAAAGAGTTTATTTGCTATTATCCAAGTTATTCTTATACCTCATCTTCTCTCTTTTTTATGCCTGACCTTTTAGTCGTCAATTTAATGTGTCCTTTGATGACCGAGTCTTGGATAGCGGCTATTTTTTTAAATAACGCTAAGGAAATTTAGATTAATTTGTTTACAAGCAAATTTGGTAGGGCATGGATTGACTCTGCAGTATCCTAACATGAACTGATTGTGATCCATTGCTAAAGGCAGACATTTATTAATATACCTGGGAAGGAGTGGGGTGAATGGCTGGAGCTGGCTTCTGATACATGAACTGAAATATATAAAACTAATGAACTGCAATAATCAGGTCACACATAATGTAACTGGTTCTCCCTCAGCATGGGTTTTATTATGGGCAGGGATCTTTATTAAGATCAGTTTCTGCAGTTTTGTCTGAGTAACTCTACTAAGTTAGTTACAGTCATTATCCATTAACTATAAAAACCCAACAGCTAGAAGTAATTAGGAAATGTCGTGGTATAAAAGTCATTCTGCATTTCCTTTGCACTACCTTTTACAGACGTGGGAGACCTGCGGCCAACTTTCCTAGAGAACGAGAGCTGGTCAGTTCTTATCTTTGCCCCAAGTGATTTGTCAATGTCATCTAGAATATGTCAGAGCCAAGAATTGTACTTCAGTCTCCCGATGATAGCAGTGTCTCAACCGCGAGGTCCTTTGCCTGCTGAGAGCAGGCTGTTTAAAGCACAAAACACACCTGGCAGCAATTTTTACATACCAAATTTCCTGTCTTGGAATTAACCGAAGGCATGATACTTGTGTGGTGTTTGAGGGAGAGATGCCAGTGCAGAGAACAGACCTGAAAATAACTCTCCTCTTAAGGAAAGTGGTGGTAATTATAATTCTGATATTGTTAGAGGATATGCTACTAGTTTTGGGGTGTATGATTGTCAGCTTCCAAGCTGACTGTATGTTTACGAGTCTAGATGCACAGACTTTGATCTTCCTCTCCAGGTAGCAGTGCCTTGATATTACTTGCATTCTGTTCATCTGAATGTTTAACATGATCTGCTCACATATAATTTTATACCTTTGGCTAGAATTGTGCATGCTACATGGTGGTAAGGTTAACGGAGACTTTTGAAATTAATTCGGTCTTGGGTATGTGAAATTATAACCTATATTTAATAGGATAGATTGGACTTGAGAAGTAACAATGGCCCTTGAATGTTGCAGTTCAGATGGCAAATCATAAGGTCCTCTGATGGGACTAATTAAATGAATAAAAGATTTTAGGCTCATATGGGGAGCTTAGTATTACCAAGAAGCTACAACTGTTAAATGACCCTTACCGAGTAAATCTGTTTCCCCACCCACCCCGCCTTGATCATCTCCTGACATAAATGCTCTGAAAGAGAAAAGTGATGGAATACCTGCAGATCCTTGTGGGACTTCTTACAGAGAAGTGTTCAGACAGGTGAAACTTCACAATATCAAGAAAATTTTAAGTAGGAAAAAGTGGAAATGATAGTTTACTGTGGGTTGGCTTTCTGTCACTTGTCTAAAAATAGAAGGCTGCAGAAGAATAGCCCTACCTTTAGCTGAAGTGTAAAAGAATGTGTAATTTTAACTGTTTGAGCCTAATTGTTATCTGGAAACAAACAGCAACGGAGCTTTAGCATACCTTGAAAATTTGGATCAGCTTGTGAGTCTGTAGGAGTCACAAGATACCACATATTTCATGACACTGTCCTGACAAGGCTCTGGACTTGTCTTGCTTAATTATGGCTTGTCGCTTGCCATGATAAATATGTCCTCTCCTGCATTTGTGACTAACTCACGTGGGCTTTACAATAGTGGTTTGTCAATGCTAAAATAAGAGATTCTTGCTGAGTGTGTGGCTATGAAAAGGTTGATAGCGAGTACAGCAGGTAATGTACGCTGGATAATGGATTTTTACATTTGACTTTTAGATCTTGCGTGGGTGACTGTGTTGGCACAGAGTGCCCGGTGTGCCACGTGCCAGCCTGGGTGCAAGATGCACAGATAAACCGGCAACTAGATAACATGATTCAGCTTTGCAGCAAACTGCGGCATCTACTGGGTGCGGACACCTCAGGTAAGAGCAAATCTGGGTCTCTGACAGCTGTTGAATCCAGACGCCTCCATTTCATTTCACGGGCTTTACAGAGAATGAACAGTGCAGCCCTGTTTAAGATTCTGAAAGGCTGTTCAGAATCATGTTTGGAAAATTTGATTTGAAGAGAACTGTCTGTATGGATTGCTCGTTCTTTGAATCTGTTTTACTAAGAAATCTGCATGAGCAGGTCAGTCTGTAATTCATTAGAATCTGTCTTCCAAAATTAGACAAAAGTGGGATAGATTCCCAAGTCACGTGGCAGTTAGTTGCACAAACCAGGGGCACAAGTTGTCATATCTTGTGCTCTTAGGGGAGCACAAATGTGTACTGTACTGCAGTGTACACTTTTTTAGGGTCCTGTTAAAGGATTAATGCACATATTCTCTTGCCTCTTGTGTATTTGTGCTCCGAGGTGTGCATGCTGTCCCAGTAATTTTCAGTTTAGGGTTTTTGCACACAGAAAAAAATTATCTGTGTTCCTTGCCTAAAAGGGGAAGGAGGCAAGTCTTAACTCATTTATTTTCTGGTCCCTAATAATCAGCTACTCTGCTACAATGGAATTTTGTCATTGCTGACTGTGCTAGAAGATTGCAGAGATCATACTCTGGGAATTCATCTCTTTATCAAATTTTAGGCTGATTGTCAAAGTAGGAAAAAATGAAGTGAAATAAGTGTAGGTGAATGTATGTGAATTCTGCAAGCTCAGAGAGGAGCATTTTCTTGTAATACCAAGTTTTAGAAAACATTCATTTAGCTGTCAGATACAGAAAAGGTAATTCTTCCTTCATTGTTGCTCCCTAATATGTTTGTCTAAATTAAAGATTCTTTTTCTAAGTATAATCCCATCAGCACCTTCATGTTCATTTATGGGGTAGCTGTTTATTGACGTCAAAATGCATTTAAGTGAGGAGGCTGAAAACCTACGTCCAACTGTAAAGGAATACATTTTATATAGATATAAAATCCTATGGTGATTAAATCTTCCGGAGCATAGAAAATATAGATGATAGCTTAAATAGGATTTCAGGGAAATGTTTTAGGTGGTGAAGGCTTTTGAAAACATAGTTGGAGGAGAATCTCCGAGAGGAGCTATTTGTGATGCTATAAATAAAACATTTAAAATACAATATGATATAATATTGGTACTGTTTAGATGTTTTGGAGAACTCTTACAGCTGGATTAACTCTTACAAACTGTTCTGTTTCACTGTACTAGGAGTTGCATAATACATATAATCCTATAATTCTTCTAAAATAAGGTTTGCATGGTATGGTTAAACCACAGAACTAAATGAGGTTCTTTTTATTGTTCCTTGCTCCAATTTAAAAGCAGACACAAAATGGAAGTTTACAAGAGTGTTTTATTTGGAGCTAAAGTTATGAACTGATGTGGGAGATTACTTTCCATCACTTGTAGTCTCTGCCCTGTACTAAGGATTAATGGCCTTTTGGATGTTTCATACTGAGGTTAAGGGAAAAAACTCCTGAGTTGTGATAGTTCACTGTCAGGAATGGTTTGGGTACGTAAGAAAATGAGCACACCTCTGACAACAGCCAGTTATGTGTTGTACTATGGGAAATCACAGGATGCTGTAGCTTTAGAGATTTTGAGAGCAAATCCTTTAGGATGTTTTGTCACTCAGCTCTGGCAAATCTGTCACCTCCCATAGATGTATGTCTTGAACTTAATGTATACCAAGTGAAATATGTTTGAGTTTGGAGAATCAGGGCCCCCGTTGTTAAGGAGTTGCTTTCATGTTCTTACGGCACTGTAATTCTGCCACATTCCTGTCAACAGTATTTTCTTTTCTTTTTTGTTAGAAGGTCAGAAATTGTATTTTGTGTTCAAGTAAAGGAAACAGACCAAAAAATCAATCTTTCTGTGGAGGAAAGGAAGAGAAGCAGTTGAAAAAGGAATCTTTCCGTATACTTGGTTTATATACCTTTTGCGTATTTGTTTTATATGCCTTGTTTTAAGACGATTGTGGCTTGTCTCAAGGCTTCTGTTTGAGATCCTTGTTCACTCTGAAGTTTCTAATGCAAATGCATCATACTACCCATTTTTTAATCTACGACAGACCTAGTGAACGCAGTAAGTTGTGTGTGTTGTCTTTAAAAAACCACAGAACTACCATGACTGAAAAGGATGGGGTTAAGCTCACGTGTTGAATATTTCAAGTATAAAAACCCCTGTACCCCGAGGTTCCACAGTAGGTATGAGAGGGATCTCACTTTGTACTCCATTGGGATAAGAATAGCTTTTTGCCAAACAGCGTGTGTGTTCTAAGAAGTAGCAGCAAGTAATTCAGGACAGACTGCATAAAACAGCTGATACTTCCCTTTTAAAGGGAAGCACAGCAAATGACACTGCAGAATAGTACTGGGGTGACTGAAGGGGAATTGGCAAACAACAAACCTGAAACTGGCTAGAAAATGCAAACTACAGGTAGCAAATGCTGAGTCTCAAAATTAATTCACTTGTTGGAGGTGTTATATCCTTAGTCTGTGGCAAGGTGAGGAGAGCTGTCTGACCTTTTCACTGCCTAGTGTTGTACCTTTACGAGGGTAATAGGAAGCTATGTGGCTGGCAGGCTTCATAGATGGGATGTCTGAACCTCAAAATCTTTAGCTCTAATGTTGCAGAGTCCAAGATGTCTTGAGAATTGGAGTTGATGGGATAATAGGCTTCATAGGTGGGCAATTAGTAAGAACTTGTTGAATCATGGGCATAGTGTATATAGTATACTGGAGATGAAGAAGGCTGATTTAGGGTAATGGCTTTGAAAGTGAATTTCTAAATAGTTCAGCAGATTTTTCTTTGTGATGTTCTTTAAAAAGAAGAGATTGTCATAAATTTTCACAACAACCATTTATAGATGATTTTACTTTATTCTTTGTAACATAATCTGCTTCACTCTAACACAGTTAAACAGCAAGCCTTCCTCCCCTCTTCTCATACAGAGCTAGACCTTGCAGGTGTTGCCCAAAACTTCCTAAGCTCTTGTTGATGCTGGTGGACAGTAGGAGAGGTTTAACTTTTGATTAGTCTTTATAGTATCGTAATTTAGCTTCACATTTACTGATGTGGAGGAAAGATGTTGAACTCCTGTTGCAGCAGATTACATTGCATCTCATGTATGCTATGACATTTTTCATAATAGCTAAAGATGAGTTTTTGAATAGCTGGAATTTCTCCCTTTTTCCCCCTGTGTTGAATACTTAACTTGCAAAATAATCATTCTTCAGTGAAGGCACTAATGTTGCACAGATGGTACCAAAGCACTTCCCTTTGATTTTTAATAAGGGACTAGTTTGTCAAAGAGATTTCTCAACTTCTGTTCTGAAACCCATAATAGAGAATAATTTGAAAGGCACACAATGTGCATCATTATATTCCTTTGATGCAGATTAATGATAGCTAAACCACATTTTCTAATTGCTCTTTTTTTTCCTGCTCTAGCCTGTTACTGCACTACGGCAGAGGAGATGTAGCTCTCTAGTTGCAAGGTGCTGTGTATCTCCTAATGTTTTTGTCTACTCTCAACCCTTTTAACACTTAAGAAATTCAATTCTATTAAATGTCAGTGTTGAGAAACTTGGTCTTATTATGTGCAAATAGGTCTAGTTTAGAAATAATTTGGTTAATATATTGTGTATATGAATGTTATGTTTACTAGGTAATGAGAAGTAAATTTACTGCATTTATTATAGACTGATTCTAATACTGTTATTGTGGATAGTCTTTACACTATTGCAGATGCTTAAAATCTAGAATTAGTAAAGCATGCTTTACTGACTTACCTTGTCTCCATGCATCTCTAAAAATTTTGGCAGGATACTTCTTATGTATTAAAAAGACAATTAAATCTTAATCATATATAGTAATTTTTTCACTCCTGTTGAGACACAAGCTCTGGCTTCCAACTTAGAGACAGCAAAGAGTTTCTTTGGATCGATTTTTATAGGAGCAATTTTTTCTGAAGGTAGTTTAACCGAATGCACTTAGCTACCAGATAATACCCTCTTCATATAAATTAACATTTACATATTAAACCATAAGAACTTTCAGTTTCTTAGCACTGTGTCTCTTCTCTCTCTCTCTCCCCCTCTCACAGCTCTGGGTGCATCAAAGGATTAGATTTTCAGGGAGGGTAGATTGGCCATTTGTCTTTACTACTTCTACTTCCTATCTTGTACGCTTTGGAAATGGAGGAAAGGGACAGCAGAGTCTAAGAATAATGTTTTTTGCAGATGCTACACAGAACTGTTCAGGTAATGTTGATGTTAGCTACGGAGTATTCCGAAGGATGGAGTTACTGAAGAATGGCTGAGACAGCACACACCCTGGCAGAAATTGCCATTTCTTCCCTAGTAGGCTATGGAGATGGCCTAGGTGTACGTGGCTGGCCTCTCGATGTGACGGATCTTTTTCATAGTATGCGTGGCCTTTTAATCATGTTCCGTGAGTGCCTCCCTGTTCTAAAACATGCAACATATTCTTTTACACCTAAAGTAGTTGCATATGAGGAAAAATAATCCTGGGGAAATATTTATTTGGTGTATTTTCAGCAGATTTTAGTAACCTGACTAGTAAATCCCTGCTGAGAAACCAGTAATGAACAGATCAATTTAAGAACTCTTGTGGTTGATTTTTCACAAGCTTTCTTGCTGCCAGAAGTGGTACATACATAGCTTCTGGTGTAAATACTTAACTGCGTTATGCTGCTTTAGGTGCTACTTCTGAAGGACAGTGCCTTTGATTGAATTTGTCACTTGGACTTTAAAGTCTTACTGTGCATCAAAAAGAATTGTGGCCATCACAAAATTGTTGCACAAATTACTTTTGCAAGCTGATTTTATTCTTGTTCTTTACTTGGAGATGACTGATAGTTCTAGCAAGGTAAATATTTTAGAAGGAAATCTGCTAGTTGTGTAAACAGTGAAGCAAGACAAGTAAATAGTAACTGTGTTTTATATTTTGCATCTGTTTGCAATCAAGTTCTTCCTTTTTTTTAGATGTTATTGTCAGAATGAAATTGGATATGCTGTCTTTCTGAAGGCTAGCTAGTTATGAGATTTCAGTCTCAATTTCAGTGCTTTTTTTCCTGTTTGCAGCAAGCCCAGCCCTACAAGGAAGCCAAATAGGAGCAGTTCTGTGCCTGATGATTATTTTTAGATATTTAAATGATTGATTAGCTAGCCTTGAGCTGTATTCTTAAAGACACTTTTGGTCTGATGCCTTACATATTCCTTTAGCTACATCTCCTAATATCTAGCATATTCTAATTCAAGGAGTAAGAAGGGTAATTTAAATCAAGATCAAGGAAACATTTAACCTTGAAATACTGTTTTACAAGAAAACTGCAAATGTCTATTTTGGTGTTGAATTACTAGCTCTACGGTTCTGTTTTAAGTGGAATTTCAAACTTTTTTTTTTGTTGCTAAGGGATTGGGACTAGTTTGTTTGCTATCTGTGAGTTTATCACAGCTTGCTGTGGAAACCAGGCTATAGTTACTAACACCAAAAATAGAAGAGAAGGTATGGAGAAGACAAATTATCTGTAGAAAGTTAATGCACCCAAGTGAAAGTAACACATTGTTGCAGTGTCTGTCTTTCACTTTTAATAATCGAGACTTGGTATAGTTTATTTCAAGAATGTTTAAAAAACCCACTAATCTTGGTCTTAGTTCTGTTTAAAGATAATAATAGTAATACCCTACTTGCCTCACTAGGCAAAATCAATATTGGCTTTGTGATTGATTGCTATAAATCACCAGACTTTTGTGAACGGTAGTTTAGTCCCTGAGATTGGAGGCAACAGAAAGAATGAGTTGTGCGTTTACTTTGGAGGACTTATCCAAATAACCTAAAACAACTTAGGTTTCCAAGAAGGAATCTGTAAAAAATCTGTTATAGTTCTTTTGCACTGAAGTGCAAAAGTTGTTGTCAAATTAAATTAGTGTCTAACTTAGAGGTCACTTCATGCTCCTTAACTTATTCTTAAGCCATTGAGGACACCATGTATAGTCCTTGTTCTCAACTGTTATTTCATGCACTGGGAGTACAGGATATTCTTCTGTCATCTTGGTTATTGATTTGTAATATGCTGTACGATGTGACTTATGAAATTGCTTCACTGCATATTTTTAAAGAAATGTTTGAGATCATCAATATGTGTAGCTTCCTTGGAATTATTTACTACCAAGGGGTAAAGGATCAAATGACAGGACACAATTACTTACAGATTTTCTATATGTTCCTCTGATTCATCTGTTCTATCTGTGGAATCAGTCAAAATTTCTCAGGAATGTTCAACATTCTTACAAGGATGTTATTTTTGCTTGTTTGCGGTTATTCTTCCTGTTCATCTTTGGATGAACTGTAATATCTTTTTAGAAAATTGATTCTGTACTCTTTTGTGTATGCACAGACTACTTTGTTAAACCTATTTCCAAGGAAAACCCAGTGAGAGAACCAGCTTCTCTCTCTGTAATCTGGTCAGAAATCTACGCACATGCTGCATTGTGTACCCAGACTATTGAGGAAATTTCTCTACCAGGGTGCTCACTTGCCTAGTGGATAGCTTTAGCTGCACTGGGATCCCTGAACTCCAAAGTGGTGTGTGACCTTGCCAGTTGTTTCAAAGCCATTAATGTGTCTCTTCAGAAGAAATGAAGGTACTCAGGTTGTATTTAGTAACACTTGATTAGTTGTTATAGTTGTTACTCTGATCTTTTTTCTTTGCAATCTTCTACTGAAGAGTACTCTATAAATTATTTTTCCTCTTCCCTGATGCACTTAGATTCAACAGAAGATATGTCCACACCAACTGTCTCAGACTTTGGAAAAAAGAATAAGAAGGAACAGATAAAAATGTGGTTCAGCCCAAGAAGTAGGAAGATTCGATGTGTCCTGAACAAGAGTCAGCCTGAGACTAAAAGCGATGACCTTTGTCAAGACAGATCTTCAATTTATGATTTCTTTCCTTCCCCTCCTCATGAAAATCCCTCCAAGCTGACAAAAAAGCCAACACAGAGACAGAGTAAGAAAACGAAGAAGAAACGTCTAGCAGACATTAACAAAGTGTGGCGCTTAGAGAAGCCTGAGCAGAAAGGAGGAGTTGAGGAGAAGACTCCCAAGGAAAAGTGTGTGACCATCTGCAGTCAACCGGTAGTCCTGCGCACTCCAGAACCAAGTAGCCCTAGTCTGTAAAGGAAGCTGACTCCAGCAAAAATACAGAAAATGTGGAAATATCGCCCCAGGTAAAATCCTCAGAGAAGAAAGATAACAGTGAGGTTGCGTGCCCTGCGCAAGTCAGCACGGAAAAAAATTGTGCTACAGAGACATCACTGTCAATATCAAATGAAACTACACCTTTAAAACGTAGAAGGGAGCAACCCAGACTTCCAGTTACTTCTCAGTCTAAAAGACCAAGAAGAGCTGAGAGGAGCATTATTGGGAAGTCAGTCAGTCAAGCAGATTGCTTAAAGGAGTTATCTCAGGGTTGCGCCATCTCCCCAGCGACTGAACACAAGACACCAGTTCGGATTTCTTCCTCTGTATCAAAACTCACTGACACCGTAATGAAGACAAGAAGCTCTGCAGTCTTTCAAGCAATATATAGTCCTTCACTTTCAAAATCTCCCTCTACCCCATCTACTTCTAAGACTTGTAATCAAGTAGGAATACCACACAGTCCTTCTGTGTTGAAGTCCCCTGGTGGTAGTACAATTGCCAGAAGAAATTACAAAGGAGAGACTTTGCTCCATGTTGCTTCCATCAAGGTAGGATCATCATCTTCTAGTTCAACTTTAAACAGGGGTTTAAAATGACAATGTTGTATTAAAAATATCCTGGAAAGCAGTTACTTCAGTACATCCTATTTCTTGGGGGGAAATCTCATCTTGTGGTCTTTTTCTTCTAGGTTTATTGGGGAGTTTCCAACCTGATTCTCTGATTTCATAAAGAAATGACTATTGGAATGATCAAAGATGGTTATACTTGAGAAACTCAATGTACTACAGTGTCAGTTATACCTATGAGTTCTAGGAAGTGATAAGCATTCAAATGTTTCTGCCTTATGTGCCAGAAAGCTCTCTCTGTGATTTGTCATGAGGAGTTTAGCTAAGTATTTCAGATCTCACGGAGTGATCTTGATCAGTGTAACTTGACCTGGTAACTCAGCCAGGACAAGATCTGAATTACTTATATAAAGATAACTCTATGCAACCTTAATTGAGGTGAACTATTTCATAATCTTTGAGATCCTCCATCTGATGCAAGTGTTGACTCAAGAGGAACTAAATGCTTCACCCTGTGATTCCCGTGCTGAGCCCTGTCCTCTGAGCATGCTGTCCTCACAGCTAGTGGAGAAGGGAGAATTAGGAGAGAGTGGGGATGTTCTCAGTAGACTTCACTTTTGTGTAGGATCAATGTTATTCTTGGAATGACAGCTGTCACTCCTTTTGCTGTTGTTATCTTTCTGCTGTGGTAGAGCTTCATGGCTTTGCTTTTTGCAAGGGCTGTCCTCCCCTATTACTATGGAAAAGCTGCGTGCAGGTCGGGTGAGCTGAATGCTTACAGTCAACTCCTCAGATGCACTAATATGGCAGCTCTCTTCTGAGAGGTCATTTCAAAGAGTTTGTAGTCTGGCAATTTAAATGTACTTTGTGCTAAATCATAATACAGAAATACTGTGTGGTTAGTAAACTGCCTGTACTGGTAGAATTGATTCACCTGTAAGCATCCTGACATTTATACAGCATTTATATTTGTTGAGACAAAGACTGTTCTTGATGAATAACTGTCTCCTTTTTCAAAGGCGTTCTAATAAGCCACTCCTCCTGCATGAGACCTTTTTAAATGGAAGTGACAGCTGAGTGAGTTCAAGTATCTTACTTGATGCCATTAATATGGAATTACAGAGGAAAAAATGAAACATTGTCCTCACAGGATTCAAGAGCTTTAAAGGATGGATCTCTTGTTACCTCTCATCATAAGTCCTGTATATTCCTCTTTAATAAAGCACTGTTTACAAATTATCCTGCCATGATTTTTTGGGAATTTGTAAAGAATACTGTTATGACTGACTGGTTCTAAAAAAAAAAATTAGATCTACCTTGACAAATTTTCACACAGGTGTGGTTTCCAGCTATATGTCTGATACTTATTGTGAGATTTGGAGTAAACAGTAATATACCGATAATGTGGTTTTTCATTGCAAAGAATTTTGAAGATAAATGAGTAAAAATTAAACGATTGATGCTATAGTTAAAAAGAATAAACAAGTTTTGGCTATCCAAGGTTAGTAGCGTGGCTGGCACTGCCTGTTGGCGTTGGTACAGCCCTCTGAGAAAGGCTAAGGCTATTTCAGTGGGCTGCAAAGCTGACCGCCAGCTGTAGTGTAGGCAGTGGGGCGGGCAGATGCATGAATGCTTTTTTCAGTCCTGTGTGTGAATTAATTTTGGCGTCTTCCTTTAATGTTTATAATTATTGAGCTAAAATGGGAAGTTGCTTCTGTTCCTCATTAGTTCTGCTGTGATTTTAATTCGTCAATTCCATTTGTGTTGAGGTGCTCATTAGTAAAGGCTTGTTTAACTAGGTAGGGCTTCAGGGTGATCTCAGAGTTACCACTCTCTTTTAAAGGTAGTTAAAATAAGGCAAGGAGAGTGGTCTTTTGGTTATGGTCTTCGTTTACTTGCATGTACCTTCATTTCCAGCTACTAAACTTCCAGTGCAACTCTGAGAAAGTTATTTTACTGTCTCTGAACCTCAGATCCTCATTTATAGAAGGAGGTTATACAGATTATCTCCTTTCATCTGTGGTGTTCTTTGTTCTTGTTATATACGTTAATTATGGGTATATTATTGCATTCCTGGGAAGATGCTGCATCCCCCGGTAGCCAGTAAATGCTGGCACAGTTACTAGTCCGTGTCAAAGTGGTTTAAGACTAAGTTGCTCAAGCCAACATGATGTGAGGACTTGGTCTTTATAGAGAACTATTGGTCATGGGTTTTGCTAACGTTTTACTTTGTGAAGCAGTGAACAAGAAATAGTAGTAGATTAATTGCTATGAATCTGCTGGGGATGTGTGGCAATTCCAAGAAAACATTTTTTTGCATGCAAGTATCTTTCGTATAACCTGTATGTTTCTAGATAGCTCTTCTAAGCTGTAGAAACCCTGCTATAGAACTGATAAATGTGGTTTTTCAAAGAAGCTGGTCTTGAAAATACTAGGCTCTATGCTGTATGTATATTCTTATTGTGTTTTTTTCAAAATAGCCCTGTCATTTTTTCTGTTTCTGGAAGAAATATTTCTCTTCCAGTTTTGTTTTATAGGTGATTTTTTTTCTTGTTCTTCCCACAGCCAGTAACGTTTTTCCATGTGTGTAATAGGAAACAGATTTGTAGCTGCCACCCTCCCCTCAAAGTGAAATAGTCTAATTCTCTGGGACTTCATTAATTATAAAAATAAATCTGTATTATTTTCACTAGCTGTTAGGGTCTAATACCCTGAATTTAATTAAAGCTAATTGAGTTCTCCCTTTTTTCTTATTTAAAAGAGATAATAAACAACATTGTCAGGCATTAAAATTAAGAGTATTGTGCTGTTTCGAATGATTCTGAGGGATTGTCCCTGTTTACTATGACTAGTTATTAACTTACTGAAATCAAAATGGTTCTCAGGAAAGGTTCTAGTGTGGCTGAACTTAATGCTGAGTTAAACTAATAAATTAAAATAAATGCGGCTCTTCCCTTAGCAACCAGCAGTCATGTTTATCTTCCTTCATAGTCATTAAAGATAAAACTTCCAATTAGTTAAAATACAAAAGATGACCTATTGCACTCCTAATATTCTAAACTGGTGGGAAATTGCCCAATCAACAGCCCTTCCACATAGGAATTTTTTTACAGTAAAATAATGAGTTGTTCACAGGACTAGCTGTTATGTGGCAATTAAAAATGCAGCACAGTACTACTTAACTAGTTAATACAGAGTCTTAAATCTACTTTAAATCTCTCTATTATGGAGAGAAAAAAAAAATCATAGTTTCTTGGTACAGTATTTCAGGTCTTGGTTATGCCTGTGTTTCTTACACATTGACAAGGGAGATGATGGGGTAGTTCACAGTGTGGAGTCGCTGCCACTACGGATTGCAGGGAGAGGAATAGCGAACTGCAATGTAACAGGATAACAGAGGACCATGGCAACAGCCGCACTGTTACAAAGGAATGGATGGGAGGTAGCTGGGAAAAGGTTTTGGGTTTTATGCTTCAAGTTAAAAACAATTAGAGAGTTGTCCCTGTTCTGAGGAAAGAAGAAATTGCATCTATGCAGAGCATCTACTTAGTCTGAAGAGGGAGAGAAGGAGCATTGGGACCATTTTTGGTTACCTCCTGTTCCAGGGACCCTTTAGTTTTGACAGTTGACCAGGAGGGCCTTCATAAAGGCTGCACCCTGGCTAGCCTGCTGTGCTGGATTCTTCATATTCATTATACTTAACACTGTAATAATTATTAGATAATTCCTTCTGAGCCTGTGAGACTGTTCTTCCTTTTTATTGCTTTGTTACCAGTTAATGACACATTAGAAAGAGTGAAAGAAGATTTTGTGGTTTTGTGAGCGTGTGATGGCCAACATCAGAACACCTTTTAGATCCTTTTTCAGGTGTCTTTGACCTAGTCAGCTGTGCAGTTCCTCGCTTTTGGTACCAGATGGGTATGTATCATGGTTGAGTGTTGGGTCACACATGTCCGTGGGAAGAATGTCTCCTCTCCTGCCTTTCCTCTCGAGCCTTTAGGTACAAGAGGGGAGTTGTGCTGCTGCGCAGCCTCCCCTGAGCAAAAGGCAGTGGATGGACAGCATCATTCCTGACAGCTGCTTCACAGTGAATGAATGTGTCCGTTGGTCCAAGGTCTTTTTGTCCAGACCCCGTGATTTTGTGTGGCAGGTGACTTAGCTGTGTGTTTAATACCCATTTCATTGGAGAAATGAGGCCTGCTGGCAGAAACTAGCAGGATGACTCAGATGCAGGTGTAGCACCTGAGACTGGTTTGAAGTTGTAGTTTGACATTGACTCTCTAATGTTAAAGCCAAGTGGTATTGGAATGGTAAGCAACCTCCTGATTATGGGTGGTATCCAGCAGGTAGCTTAAGACGAATATGAAGAAGTGTAATGGTTTCAAATGCGGAACTTAAGAATATGAAAATCGGCCAGGAGTCAAAGCAATCCATCTTCCCAAGTACTGATTTGAAAGCTTAGAAACAAATTGCCATTTCTTTTTCGATAATGCTTGGGTGTTACTTCTCTTGTTTCTGAGGTGAGCTAAACGTAACTTCTTGAATGTTTTCTTTTTGTTAAAGGTTAAGCATAGCTACTTGTAAGTTAATAAGTGGTCTGCTGGGTAGGGAATTAATTTAGAGATATTTGAGGTGAGAAACTCGCTGGTTCCTGGAAAGAGTTGGTTGGAGCATTCACAATTATTATAAGCACTTTGTAATTCATTTTTGCTCTCTTAGACCACTTATCATGAGTTGTAAATAACCTCGTTTTCCTCCCCCCCGCCATAACTTAAACAAGCAAATGTATTTGGATTTGAAAGGGTTCCTTTGTTCATTTGTTTGACCTAAAGATTGAAGTCACTTGGTTACCTTTGCAAATAAAGGGAGAAGTGTTTTGTTGATATCATACAGGTTTTTAGCTTCATCTTCATGTACTGCCTTAATTATTTGGGTCTGTCTTTTTTGAACTGGTAGAATGCGTTTTCATTAACTTAATAATTTAAATGTGACTTTTGGGTGGAAAATATCTATGGTTAATGGAAATAGTAAAGGGTAAAATGGAAAAAAAAAACCCCACCTAGAAAATAGGGCTAAAAGAACACTAGCCTTAACGAACTGTCTGCATTAACATCGTGACGCAATTGACTTGGAGGGGGGAAAAAAAAAAAAGGAAAAACCTTGTCTAAGCCAAGTGAGGATGGTTTTCTGGGCTTACGCCATCTGTGTCTGCAGGAACTAAATTCTCATTGGGAGGGAAGTGTTTGTAAAGCTGTGTAAATACCCTTCTCTGTGTAAGCTAATGCTGTCTTCTAGATCTGCCAACAGATGGCCCCAATGCCTTTCTTGCTTCTGTGGTTTTCAGAGCTCCCTTAGGCTGTTGCAGAGGAGGAGCAAACCCGTTGCATTATTGCATTGTCACTATGCATAAGTTTGGTTATGAGCTTAAAATGTCCTTTGCTTTGTTTCTTCCAAAAGGATAATTTTACATTCTGCAGTAGTTTCTGCCTCTTCAGAAGCTGGTTGTAATCCTTCTTTGATAATGAGATTTAAAAATAAACACTTCCCTGTGAATTGTTAATGTTAGCATTTTTCTACCTGGTGTTTGTCCTGTTCTCTACTTCTAAACAAGTAGTATCTCCAATTACGTTTCCACTCTGCTGTTGCTACAGACTGCTAAGACAAGCTGTGAGGGCCTCTCCTCGTATTGTCTAGTATGGTTATGACTCTGTATTTGGGACTGCTGATTTTATGCTGGCATTGCTAGATCAAGTAAACTCAAGGGGCTAAATGTACAAAGTCTATTTCAGTAGTAGTCAAAACACAACTTTATGATCCTATGTTTGAATTAATAATCTCAAAGCAATAGGTAGGTATAGGTGTAGTCTGTTCCGTTTTCTTGTGGAGGAAAGACACATAGTATATTGATATCTGTGGCTAGGACTTGCTCTTACCAGGTGGCCTTTCTTGTTTAGAGTTGAGCAAAACATTTATTGACTTTTAAATGTGTGAGTAATTCCATCAACTCTGATAGAAGTGGTCAGTGTGTTAACCGCACTTTTTTTACTTTTGCACTTTGCATCACTATCAGATGATGCAGGAGGGACCCTAGCGCATGTCTGCTAAGGATCTGCTTCTTGAAATTTCATCTTCCCCTTTTTAACTAAATATTCACACAATATAGTAACTGACTGAAGAGCCTCTGAGGGGACAAAAGGCATGTTCTCCTAGCTATGAACAGTTTTGTTAACGTATCTCTTGTAATCCTGATTGACAGCACCTATCCAGGCATTGCTCAGTACAGCTGGCATGACAGCTTCCCCTCCCTTTCTGTCACTCTCATTGCTAGGTGCCAGTTGCAGGGAGCAGGTTCCATTTACAGCTGATGTGATGACAATATTTTTCTTCTGTAAACAGCAAAACGCTGATTTTCTAATTGACTTAGACCTGGATTTCATTCTGTGGATGTTGTCAGTACTGGTGTCCACACCAGCAACATTTCCTTTGATAAAACTGGCGTAATGTTTTACAAATCAACATTCACATAACTGTTTTGAAAAGCTGTGATACTACCTAATGCCCACACAAATTATTAGCTATGCTTACTGCTCTAAGTAAGAGCACTCTTGAAATGTCAAACCCTTGCTGTACATATTTGCAAACTTAACTTTAAATGATAAGCTCAGATCTCACTCGTTATAGCTAATTGTATCTTCTTTCTGTAGAAGAGATCTAATGCTGAGCGCTGTCTTAGCTGCCTCTGAATAGCTCTTCAGATTTGATGCATATCTATTACCTTGCAACCATAAAGTATTCTACCAGCAGCGTATTTTTTAATTGCTTTGAAAGGTAACATTTTGTTGGGACGTCTAGGTTGCGAATGTAATACATGAAATTTCTCTCTCATATGTTAATTGGTTTGACTGTTGTAAAGCCGGTGATTCTCAGCATTTTTTGGTGAATTTTGAGTTTCCAATTGTTGCTTGCTGGATTTATTTTTGCTGAGCAGAGTCTGCCTTAATATTTTCTCTAACTAAAGAGCAAAGATTAAAGCTATTTTGTTTTTCCAAAGTGTTCCTTGATAATAAAAAATGGGATTAAGTTTATTTTTGTTGTATTTAAAGCTTAATTTAATATTCTCTCACTTTTTCTAAGGTATGCTGTGGCGTAACAGTTAGGAATTCCTTGACTTGCTACTACTTAAGGGCATGGAACTTCCTGTATATCATGGATTAAACTTCTCTTCCCCCCTCCAGGTCCTAATATTTTATATATTGCAAGTTTGGCCAAGGGCAAGAGCTAGATACCAGTTTGTATATTAGTCTCTTTATTGGGGATCACAATACCCTGGTCTAGGTAAAGTGTTAGTGGTCATCTTGAAATGCTTGGTTGGGGTGGATCCTAAAAAACCAAACCAAACCAAACAAACAAAACCCAAAAAACCAACCAAACAAAAAACCCCAAACAAAACAAAACCAAAAAAATCCTACCCAAAAAAGCCTCAAAACCTAAAATAAAAAGAATTGGGGCATTGGTGGCAAGCCATGCAGAAACTTGAGGCCTACTATGCTAGTTTAGCCTTTGAAAAGCTTGCATTATTTAGGTAGTTTTGGTCATTAGATGACACTTGGCAATCTCCTCCTTCCCTGTTACTCCGTCAGCTGAGAAATGGAGTGTAACTGCTCCTAACCTGTAATAGTGCAGGTAGATCATTGCTTTGGCCTGAGAGGTGGTACCTGATGCTGGGAGGTGTGGGACAGCCTGGACCCATTAGCTGTGTACCTGCAGCCATGGGAGGGTTTCCCGGCATTGCAGCAAAAATTTTGGAACAGAATTCATGGTGCCTCTTCCAGTAGGGCAGACCTTTGCAATTGCTGCTCTGTAGTAACAAATGCCAGAAGCAGGAACTGGCTGACGTGGCGCAGAGTGAGTTTTAAGTACCGATATGCTGGGGTGCGGATGGTGCTGTGAAAGGAGTACGGGGTCAGAGTCTCTTTGTTTTTAGTCTCTTTGGGTTACTTTTCCCACCTGCTTTTAAGAAGACCTGCACTGCAGAGATTTCCTTGCCTCAGCTTGCCGCAGGAGGCTTCTCTTTGCCTATTTATAGCTGCATCTGTATGTGCTCCAATCTTATTACCAACTTTCGCTCTTATATTTGCCTTTTAAGAGCGTCAAAACCTCTGATTCACAAATTCTGCCCAGATGCTTCCTTCGCCTTGTCTCTAGTCAGCCTCTTTCCTCTTCCCATAATCTCTGCATCGGTTTCCACCTTTTTCCACGTACGTTTCCTTGCTTATAGTAAAAACTGAATATAGCGTTCTTCTAAAAAGCAAATAAAAACTATTTTGGTAGAATAACTGTTAGAGAAAGTGTCAGTGAGATTCAACACGAGTAATAACTGCAGTGTTAAATAAAA